TTCAGAGGTTGGGAAACTCTGTCCCAGGGAGTCTCATACAACCCGTGGGCTGAAGGGATGTGAGAGACCAGGAGAGCATCTGCAGCAAGAGAGGTCTGCTCTTAGGCAGCAAGATGTGACAGCAACAAAAACCTACTCCATCTACAAAGATGGAATCATGGAGCATTTATTTCCATCCCCCCAAAAAAAGTCATTGAATTGCTTGATTTAGAGCAAAATTAAATAAAAAGTCTCTCCCTGAAGGAAAACTGTGAGCAATAGGGAAACTTAGTTCTGTTTTGCTGTACTTGGTAATTTTCAGTTTCTGGATGAAAAACTTTTCCCCAGCTTCTATTTGAACAAAATACTATTTCTATAGCTCAAAAGCTCTATTTTGTCAATGAAATACATCATAAAATGTATATGCACAAAGGCAAACCCAAATATATACACACATAGCTGAAGAAATGATAAGAGCTATTTTTATTTTTCATTCATTTCTGGAACACTGGAGATCCTAAAGCTGCCTTTCTGTAAAAGCTATTGATAATCTTTTTTGGCATCATGAGTATCATCTTTGCTACCAGTCGTGATGAGAGAAAATTCCATGCATTATTGTCCCTCTTTTGTCTATCATTATATCATTTTAAGTGTGGTGACACACATTCGCTTTAAAAAAAAATAAATGAGATGTACAAGGGATTAAAACTCTTCCAGCAACATGAATAAAAAATGACTCTGACAGTTCCTGCACTATTGGAAGACAAAACCAACCAATATTGCAAATGAAAAAAATAGATCTAAGAGCTTCTTCTTATCACCAATTTTTTTTTTTAATTTTATTTTCTTCCCACTATTGCGTAAAGTTATTAACTTATAATGAAGAAGAAAAAACCTATGATAAAACAAAACTTGCAGCCATTTTTAATGAACTTCCTGGCCTTTCAAAGTAACAGCACTGACTGGATAAAAGCCTTTGGAAGATGGCACCTGCATAAATTTTTACCACTGGTTTCTGAAAATATATCTAACACATGCAGAAAGTATCCCTTTTTAACAGCTTCCATTAAGATCCATATACTGTAAATCTGTAGATGTATTTTTAGTTTGCAATAATAATGGCTCAGAATGGCAGCAGATTTGGACACTTTTGTACCATCTGCAGGGTACAATAGCAGGGTCTCTTTTCACCCTGCAGAAAAAAAGAGTAAATGGGCCCATAAAAATGGGCTCTGGGAGCTGATGGGGTTTGGCTGTTCCTGGTGGCACTTGGAGTGTTTGTTATGGCTGCAGAGTTTAGTCCATGCTGTCCTGACACAGATCAAGAGCTAAGGCAGACAGTTCCTTTGAGAATCCCACGGGAAGCTTAACACTGTAGAGAAGCCAGATGAAAATTCTCTAAAATATCAGAAATCAGTACCTAAAATGTGATGAAGACTTCACTCAGAGGCAAGTACGCTGATCTAAGAGTTGCACCTGCCTGCAAGTACCCCCAACTAACATCCCTAGTGAGATTTTTGAATACGTAAAATACTATGTTTAAGACTATGCTGCTCTTTCTTCAAACATGATTCTAAAATACCTGCCCTTACACCTAAAAAAAAAAAAAATTATAAAATACAGATATAGAAATGCTATCTGCAGAAAATAACTCGAAACAGTAGGATGGAAAATTGTATATACATAGGTATAATATGCAGTGATAGAATATATTTATATATAGGGTTATTTAAAGCAGGGTGTTTTAAGAAGTTGGTTTGCTGAGTGTTTCTCAAAGCCAGTGCAAGTTTCCATTGATAAACCCTTCAGAAAATCAGGAAACTTTCATTAAAAGGATTACAAGTTCTGAGGAACTAATCACAAGTTTGATTGACTCAGTGAGTGGAGACCGTGTTACGGGCCCAGGAACAGACACCACGAAATCAAGCAGATCTGTAGTTGGAGGCTCCTGAGGCCAACCATGGGAAAATTTAAAGGAATGTCTGTCTCATTTATACGCCTTGCTGATGCCAGACAACAATATGCACCCTCAAGCTCCTTCCTAGACCTGAGACTATTAAAGGAAGATCATATTGTCTTATGGAACTCGATTGCCAGCCAGGAGTTGGTACCTGCACACTTCCCTAGCAGGCAGAGCTGTGGATTCACTGTCCACAGGAATTGCATAGTCATGTAAGTACACTTTTGGCTTCCAGCTCCTGCCCTCAGGGATTACTACTTCTGCCTTGTGTCCAGTGGTTCTTGGAAGCATAAGCAAGCTTCTTCTGCAGCAATCAGAACTGAAGTTTTAGTTCTTGTGACAACTCTCATTTCCCTTCTAAGCATCTACAGGAGGACAACCAATGTATCCTTGCCTCCATCTCTCTCTGATGAATTGCATTGGCTTGCACACATCTTCACCAGAATATGATGGTAAGTATAGTCAACCATCAAGACACTTAGAGGATCCCAAAATTCCCTTGGGATAAGTCATATCGATGAGATTGAACTCATAGAGTCTACAGAATTTTTTTTTTCTTTTTTAAATTACGTTTAGAGCAAGACATAAACACTCAGTTCATCTGAAGTGCCACAGATCTGGGCAAATACAGATGAAAACCTTCAGGAATCTTAGAGACTTTTCTCATAATTACATTAATATTCAGAAAGGGAACCTCAGTTATCATCAGCTAAATGAGCACAGGATAGGTGATGCAGATTTCATTCAAAAATCTACCCAGTTTCATTCCTGTTGCCTCTGTCCTTCTTCAAACCTAGGTGTAGATGCCTCGCTGTTAGCAATGAAGTCCCAAGGCAGACAAACAGAGCATTGTCAGAGGTAACTGATATCAGAAATAATATTCCTACTCAAAGTCAAACAATTTATTCACAATATCTATTAAGTTTTAATAGATTAAATTAGTATTTTTGCAATAATGTTATGTATATATATAATATTATATTGCGATAATATGATGCCATTTCAAAACACGATAATTGTGCTGAGTCATGAATATGAACTCTGATGTTCCACTGGTTCTGTCTTTTGACATACTTTTAAAAATTGCCTATGGAATGTTCTTAGGATTGGAATTTCACACCCTTTTCAGGCTTTGCAGAAAACAGTTGTCAAGGAAACTAATTAGTTCTGCAATCGTAATTGCAGTAATGATTCATATAAAGAGGACCTGAAGTTAAATAGTGTAACAGACTTCTTACAACTACTTAGAGGTTATGGGAGAGCACTGAAAGGAAAAAGCCCCTAAGTGCCTATAAAACTGTGTTTAGGGAAAAATGTTCTATCTTTCTTCTGAAATTAAATTAACTAAGATTCTTTTTACTTGAATGTCTAGAGACCATCTATGTTATCATTTACAGAGGCATATCATGTTTCTGTTACAGCAGCTGTGGCAATAATATGGAATAGTTTTTATAATTATAACAGGCTGAAGTTAGATTGCATTGCGAAAGAAGAAAGATTTTCATTTCAAACATAAAAAAATTGAAAAGTAGCATATCCCTTCCATTTTCCTAAACAAGGTTTTTACTTATTTTTCTTCTTGACAAATATTTTTGTTTCATTGGGACAATAAGCTTTCCTACACTTCTTTTTCCCTTTTCTTTATCAATCAAGGGAAAATTTATTTCTGAATGATGGCAATCACAAGGCACTCTCTGTTTAAAAACAAGTACACAGGACCTACTGAGACCCTGAATTTCAATCAAGATGCAAATCAACTCCACTGCAATTCAAGTGCATAAACCAAATATTTGTACTAGAACTGGATCTGAACCTATGAATGAATTACAAATGCCTTTTCTTTTTTTTGTAAATACAAGTCACAATGCTTCCAATATCAAAAAAATTGCTATGGAATACCTAAACGTGCTTCAGAGATCTTGAGATAACTTTTGTAAAAATGTATTTGAAGAAAACTTACAACTGACAAAAAAAAATAGCCAATTATTTCAAAGTTTTCTGATGACACAGCAGTCCATGACTCATTCAAACTCCTTGCCACAGTACTAAGACAAATGCTAGTCAGATGCTCACACTGAAGCACATGTCTATTTTTTAATATCTTTCCCATTATATTTATGTGGCAAGTTTTTTTATTTGATTCTAATACTCCAACAGTTTGATATACAGCAGACAGAAAATACCATGTTAGAGGATTTAGCACTGATTTTTCAGGTAGTAATGATGACACTGATCTAATCTGGAAATTATTATTAAACATAGCAGCTCATAATTTGAGTAAAAAGTTTGAAATCTCTTCCTCATAACATTTATAAAAATTTTTAAATTTAAAAATTAAAAATTAAATTTCCCCATAATGCTTCAGAAATTATCATTTTTTAGGTTTATTCCGAAGTAAATAATTTTGCGTTGCTGCATCAAAATATAACTTCATATCGGGAAGCATTAAAACTCTTACACTCACTCTTAACTACGATGTAGTTTTTCTTTATTAGAATTCCAAACCTTTCTATTTACAGACTTCAAATATGAACAACATTTCTAAAGATTTCAAAGCTTGTAGATAGGCCTCATAGAAGACTGTATGATCAACACATTAGTTCAGACAGTATCTAAACAAGGTTATTTGAAGTCTTAACCAAATCAGACACTAAATTAAACACCTTTATTACATGTGGCTTGAAGCACATGTTGAGATGGGACTGAAATCAAGAATTCTGCTAAATAAGCTGCTTACAGCAGACAATAGGCAGCCCAAAGCAACTTAAAAATGTATAGCAGCTGTATCTTAAATATTATATTGCTTGTTAACTGCCATCATCTCGGTTGAAGATTCAACCTTTCTTCTATGCTTAAAAATTCCTTGATTAGTAAGAGAAAAGTGGGAGATGGGGTCCCATTTAAGGGTTTTGAATCAATTCTTTGATGGTAATAGTGTCTAGCTCTCAAGTTTTTTTCAGTTAAAGGTTTCAGTGTTCAAATGTCGTGTTCAATCACTCAAATTAGTGTACTACAAGTAGGAAATGATTCATAGAGAGAAAACACTGTGAAATAAACTTACCTGTAATAATGTTGGGCTTTGGTGGCATGCTGAATTCATACAATGTTGGTTCAGAATAACCCAGTCTGTTGGCAGCTGTAATTTGTACTTCGTACCCCATGGTCCATTGAAGGTGCTCTAAGATGATGTGGTCTCTACTACCCTGCACTTTTTTCTCTAGCCACTGGTCTTCCTTATCTTTCTGTAAAGATGAAAATATTTGTTGAAATCCTCAGAAATGATTGTATTATTTGTCTAAATTCTGTATTTACACAAGACACAAAAATACAGAGTTTCCTTTATGGCGGTTACGAACACTGAAATAAACTAATTTCGGAGTTCTGAGTACTCAAGTTTTTGCAATTTTGACCACTCCTTATCAATTTTCCACAATGTGGATTTAGAGAATTTGGTGGTCGACCCTATTTAACCTTTTGGCTTCAATTTATTCTTTGCTCAAATACTGTTTTTTATCTGGTAGAACAGTAGGATAATTATTTACAAAAGCTGCTAAGAACAAATTATGTAAAAGATTTATTTTATATAGATGTTTCAATTACATTTTGATCAATGTTCATTCAAAGAAACTTGCCATTAAACCCAAACTTGAATTGTTCATGAATGCAAGCTGTGCTTATATCACACATTAGTAATTTAATGAAAATTGTAGCAATATGTGGTGCTATAGGAGCATTTTGCATACCAGGTTGTATGTAACAATTCAAACACCACTTAGAAATTATGAAGTACTATGTCTACACTGGTGAGAGGATATATGTGAATTTCTGAGATGATGTTCAAGAAGAAAAAAGGATTCCCATAATTTCTCAAAATTCAGGTAATTAAGATATCTTTCCAAGGGGAAAAAATTAAGGACTTCAGTTGCAAACAATTCTGGCATTTTATAAATTTGGAGTGCTTACCTTTGCAATTTCTCCTTTGAGTGCATAATATATTTAAATATTCTTTATACAAATAAAAATAACAAAATAACTAATAAATAAAAGGATTAAACAATATATACCATCAAACACAAAAGTGACCTTGTTCAAAAAACCAACAACAGTCAGTTGCAGTCCTATTTTTACTACACACTGAGGTACAATAATGGCAAAAAAATATGGCTGAGAGACAAACCCTGGCCATCCAACCCATACAGCAACACAGAATTAATCAGTGGATTTAAATTTTGTGGGGACAAATAAAGCCAAAAAAATTATAATAGATAGAAGTATAACTTTCTAGCTGCACACTACTATGTTTCTCAGCACCTTATATTTAACCTCTCTGCTGAAGCATCTTGCTCCTCACTGATGCAGGTTTCAGAGAGCATACCATCTAACCATCTAATTTAGAGAGTTCAGGGACCAATCATATTGCTTATGTCTCTCTCTCCTTTTTTTTTTTTTTTTTTTTTTTTTTTTTTTTTTTTTTTTTTTTTTTTTTTTTTTTTTTTTTTTTTTTTTTTTTTTTTTTTTTTTTTTGTCCCTAGTCTTCAGAAAACAGAGGACAGACTAAACTCCCTTATGTGCAATATAATTAATTTGATATCAGATCTGAGTGTGATGATTCTTCCATACTTAAATTTTTTGCTGCTTCTGCACTAGCATTGGTATTGTCACCTGATAGTCCTGGGAATGATTAAAATCCAGCAAAGTGTCTTTTCAAGAATATTTGCAGCCAGGTGAAATTTACCACTTGGTGAAGCCACAGACCAGTGAAAAACATCAGAATGGTAATTCCATTACAAATCATGAAAAAACCTAAATATGCTGGACTAAAAATAGTTTGCTCATCATACAGTGAAACTGGTATTTTCTGTAAAGGTTATTTTCCCATATCCTAATTTCTGTTGCAATCATCTGACTTGCCACTGAGTGAATCCACTTACATTGTCACTATACCAAACTCCTTTCACAAAATATGTTTTTTTGCACAGCACTCCTGAAATAGAGGGATCCAACAGTGATTGCAGTATATTGCAAATACTACTAAGTAATATTAGGAATAGCAATGTTTTGTAGCACCACATTTTAATGGCTGTTTAAACTGATGAGGTGTGGGAGGAGTTAATGCAAATACAGTTAGATTCCAAACAATATCAACATCAGAGTAATCAGAAGTTCCATACATGACCTTTGTGTTATGCACATATACCACGTAAATATCCTGGAGAATTCCAAAGGGGAATCACACAAGGTGAAAAAATACACCAAAATGGAAAATAAGGATTCAGGCTAATGTGGTTCTTGCAGGTGGAAAAGACAGCACTGCAAGCAGATATATGGCTATATTGTGAAAACAAACTGTAGAATTAGATGTGATGAATAGAATGAGCTTAAGAGTTGGAAAGAAAACTTTAGATTTCTGTATGAGGCTGCACATCTGCAGACAGAATACGTGAAAAGGTAGGTGTTCTACAATTTGGTCAGGTGAAAATAATGAAAGACTTGAAATGTAATGGGATAAGTGCATGGCATTCCAGAAAAGTTTAGCTGAACCTAAAGCCAACTGGGTGAACCGAGGTAAATGAAACAAAGTCCAAGCCCTGAGTGCCAAGACATGACAAATTTTATGAAGAGTGACAAATACAAGTTAGGAGGAAGAGGATAAAGTATCTGGAAAGCAAGGTGTGTTTTTCTAAAGACAAGCAGAAGAAGTCTTCCAGAATACCATCCGTTTTTGGCATCTTAAAGAAGAAAAAAAAAAGAAACCACTAAGGGAAAGAACTGCAATGTCCTTCTTCATAGCTGGTATTTCAGCTATAATGTATTTTAAAGTACTTCTTTGCTGAGTAAAGCTCAGTAATTTGTCCAAATTTATTTTACTATTAGTGTAGAAGTGGAAAAAGAGGGACAAGAACACAAATCAAGAGTCTGACAAGTAAATCTTCCCACAAATCTCTCTGTTTATTCAAAGATCCTTTAATCAGTACCTTAAGGAGCAGAAAACAGAACCACAAAAGATCACTTTGTACCATATTCAGTTGGCCTATTATTAATACTTCTTAAAATTTATAAAAAGCTCTACATATGCAGCGTGTTCTAGAACAAATGAAAGACACTTCTAAATTACAAACTGGGGCTGGGTTAATATAAATGTCGTCAATAATCACTGTCACCAGTTGTATCATTAATACCCACCATCAAATGCACATTTTCAGAAACTACAATCAGATCTGCAACCACAGAGATTAAACTGCTCCTTTATTTGCCTTACAGAAGGCCACTGATGACCTAGTCAATGACTGGCAAATTCTGGGGATCTCACCACCCTCTTCCATTACTCTTAAGCCTGAAATAACATTGTCCTCTTCCCACTATAAGTCCCTGGTTGAAACCAACCTGTCACAGACTACTACACTGAAAAAAACAAAACAAAGCCAAATCAAGCACAAAACCCTCACATTATTCTTTCTTAATTGTGTATATATTTGCTTTATAATATTAGCATCAGCCAAATTTATTTAAGAAGTATCTAATACATAGATTTTTAAGACAGCTGTAACTTAAACACCTAAATACCGTGACAGAACAAAAACAAAAGCAAATCCTCACCCCCCCCCAAAATTAAAAAAAAAAGCAGTGTAAAACTCCAGTCTACCATAACTTGCTGCTTCTCAGAGCTGAGGGCACACCTAACAACAGTGGAAGTAAAGCCAATCCAGTGTTAAGGCACCAGTTTACTAGTCTAGAAAATAAAACCCCTTTAGTGGTCATTCTACAATATATCCAAGGTCACTCCCTTCAACTCTTCCCTTATTCTCCATCCACTCTAAATTGCTGAGCTGAAAATTCAGCCCAAACAGACTTCCTGTGATGGTCCCTGTGATAAAAAAGGACAGGAGATGACACACTGTCCTGAAATCTGGCAAGAAAAAATATCAAGAAATCCTCACAGAAGAAAATCTGACAGTTTAAAGCAGTGACTTCACAAGAATTGGTTACATTTGTTTGGTGCTTCTAGGTCTGGGTAAAATATAGGACAAAGCACAAAATGGCTGATAATGTACATAGTGTTAAAATGCACAGAAAGTCCAAAGATCTGGCAGGTAAAGTGTAACCTAGAGGTGTAAAAACATGCAACTCTTCCTTGGTAGGTAACTCAAGAGTCCAAGTAAATAAGGAATTATCTCTTTTTAAATGTTTCATATTTATAGAGGTTTGTTCTAGAACCTGTCATAAAGGAATAAAACGAACACAGACTAAAGGAATAAAATCAACATAGTCAAAACAAGAGGACAAGCACATAACCTATCAATCAAACCCTTGTTTTCCAAAATTCAGAGCCTTAATAGCAATCCTGTCACATGTCAACATGGTGAAAAACTTTCAAGCCTACAAAAACTAATCACTCCTTTAATGTTTCCTCCAAACACCATTGTGAACATAAAAGGCAAATTAAGCACTGTTATTGGTTTTCAAGTTAGGATTTGAATCAATTTTTCTTGCATCTGCCTAAATGTTTCTAACCAAAAAAAGAGAGCTTTTTTTTTTTTTTCCTTATTCTAAATATTTACTAAAACTTTTCCTGCCATGGAAAAACAAAACCAACCTTCTATGTAGTATGCAACTTGGTAAAATAACACGGCAGGTAATAGTCTTTTATAAATTCAGTACACATCTCCATAATGTCCATGGATAAAGCTTAAACCTCCACTGTAAAACACCAGCACTCCTTTGTGTGTGTCCCAACCAACTCCAAAAGTACCATAAGCAGGAAAGACCAAAGGAGGGCTTGAGTTGGCCCCTATTAAAATTACACAGTTTCTATGGGAGATGTGGTGGGGTGGTCATCTCTTGCATCAGACAGGATGCTTCCCTAGGGAATTCCTACCACTGCTCTTTCCGCCTGGCTACTGGGGACCAATTTTCCCTTGTTTTTCTCACTACCCTCCTATTCTTTCCTAAGGTAACTTTGAAGCCAGTGTGTGCCATCAGCTTCAGACTCCATCAGTGAAGCACTGTCAGACTGCCTTGACTTAGTGCAACAGCATGAAAAAATCGGAGGCTGCTGCTCATAAAAATTGTATTTCCAGGAATACAGAAGAAAATGTCAAGCTGCTTATTATCTGATTGTAAGTAAGTAATTCCTGCCCATAATATGAAGAAACTGATGTTAGGAAAGCAATATTTGACAGAATGAAATATGTGATTTCCAGAAAAAAACCACAACTGACCAATTGCCCTAAATCAGGCTATTAATTGCTTTAATATCTTAAAGGCTGGCCTTCCCCCTTTAAAAAGAAAAAAAAAAAATCTGTGTAAAACTTAAACATGAGGGAACTGGCTTTTAATAAGACATGAAGAAAAAGCCACTGATGTATAGGTTCTTATCTAATACACTCTTTAAACAGTGGTCCAGGTGCTAGTAATGAGGCTGGCAAGAGTTAATTAAATATGGCCAATGGGGAAGATAGAAGTCAACAGATAATTATGAACTTTAAATAGCATTCATTCATTCTGATTAAAACACCAAAAAATTATTCTGCTTCTTTTGCTGTAGGAAGGCCTTTAATTTAGTCAAATTGCTTTTTCAATTGGAAGCTTAAGGAGATTAGGATTTGAGGTTCAAATAAAGCTAAATTCTTCAGTAACCTAATAAGTTTCCACTTACTGCTTAAACTGTACATTTACCTTTCAACAACATACATGAAAAATCATCTTTTATGCTATAATATTGTACCTTACTCAACACACCAGATCAAAATCAGATTTCCAAAAATGTGCAGGATACTTCCAAAAGCATTTAGCTTATTTAGATCATGAAACCAGGTTTAATTCCATATGCTGCATGCATGTATTGTGTCCAAACAACTTCTTTTCTTCCAGCTGGTAAATACTTAGCGGCATTTTAGTCTACCTAGGAAGTTCAATCCCACAAAACTGCATTGTATCTTTTATTGCATATTTTACTACCTCCATTTTCATTATAATTACTTTTTTTTTAAGCCAACTGTATTCACTGGACTGAAAGTCATTTGAGGAGGTCAATTAATATTTAGGGATCAGTGATAGCAGAATAACTCCTGGTCATTGCCTCAGGCTACTCTTAAAAGGGCTACCAAATGTTTCTCAATTGGTTTGGAGCTACCAATCTTCTTTGGTTATACCTAGCTTAGAAGAATCATTTTACACACCAAGTTTAGCACTCGGATAATCCCAGGACCATCATTAAAAAGTCACATTATAGGAAACATCAGGAAATGGGACAAAAATTTTTACAAGTTAAGTAACTGTCTTTTCCTTTTTGGGAACACTAAAAGGGGTTCTGCAGTTAATTTCTCAAAGGTTGCTTCTTCCTGTTAGATACAGTCCACACTGCATTCCATTGAACATGTCTAAATATCTGATGTCACATTCCCAATCTTTCAGGTTCTGGAAATGGACATGGAAATTTGCTATAACACTTTGGTAAGATGTGTTTTTACTGGATTTAGTCAGATACAGGTACTTTAATCTACCTAAAGGAACACAAGTTTTTAAAAATGAACATTTTGGAATTAAATTCATCACTTTTGCCAGCCCTGTAGCTACTTCTTCAAATCAATCTTTTCTAAGCATAATACATCAGGAAATGAAGGATAATTGAGTTACTTTAATAACAGAAAAAAATAAGCAACTTTTTTTTTTTTTTAATAAATTATACATCACAGAAAAGCCTGTTTTCTAAATGTGCCAGATTTGTTCTTAATTTACCACATAACAAAACAAAGCATAGTTTTCTTGCTGGAATGCAATTTCAGTTACATCCTTAGGAAGAACTTTTCTTTTTTTTTTTTTATTTATACTCTGGCATCATCAACTTCAGCAGCAGCAACAAAAGAAAACATACTCTATCGTTATTTACTTTTCCTAGTATACAACCCCATTTTGTTAAATTGCTATATTTCAATTAATTTAATCAGTCTTCTCTGCATTAAAAGCAGATATTAACAAGCATAACTCACTTATTTTGATTAACTGAAATACTTACACTTCTGTATTTGACAATATATTCCAGTATGGGGGCACCTCCATCATCTTGTTTAGTTATGCTAAGTTTAAAACTCTTGCCACTTTCAGGTTGTCCATGAATTGAAGGGGGACTTGGCTCCCCTAAAGAAGGAAAAAAACCCAGTACATAATGATAATTCAGCAGTGAGATAAGTCCAAAATTACAGCTGGAAACCTGTCCATAATAATAATAATAATCAAAATCTTAAAATCAATATGATCCTTCCAGGCAATGCAACACAACCTCTATAAGAGTGTTAAATATTTTGTTTAAACTATATTCCAATGTAGATTACTCACACAAGGAAACAAAATTACGTGAAGTATGAAAGAAATATTCATTTCTTTGAGACCTTCCATCTTTTGACACTTTGAAATGAATTTCCTTCTGAAATCCTTTAGCCATCAATTCAGCAAGGCTGATGGGCTGCTACTCACACTGAATTTAAAGGGCAACACTCTCTTACAGGTAAGAATCCTTAGTATTAGGCATGACTTCAGTCCCATGTGAAAGATTTAAATTGTAATTTAAAGTAAATATACTCTCCAGTAAATGCGTCAAGGCAAATTAGATAATTTTAGAGTAGTAAATATCAAGAATAAGAGTAAAGAATAAGATTTTCAAAACCAAACCAAACTTTCTTTGTAATGACAAAAATATTCTTAAACATACAATCAAAAGATTAATAGCCAGTTTAAGCCACTTTGCTGGTCAAAATTCACTGACTAATGATCATTTCTGTATGTAAGGCCTATTACAAATTTTTAAAACAGATCCTACATGAACACATCACACTGAAGTTTCTAATCCTCGAAAAAGATGCAAATTTGCATTCACCCAGAGAGATACAGTTCTTTTAAAATAATTTTATTATTTGGGTTTATCCCTTATCAAAGTAAGGATAAACAGATCTCAACATAAGTTTTCCTAGCTTTTTATCAGGTAACATATATAATATATATATATATAATATATATATATATATATAACCTCTATGAGCTTCTGCCATTTCTCCATCGGGTATGTTGTTGTGTAGGAATAATAGCAAATTATTTTGTCCATCAATATATTTAGAATATGCATATGCTTCAATGAAAAAGAAAATTAAAAGCTGTCGTGTTACTGGTTTGGGACAGAAGAAATGTACCAGTAAGAACATAATATAATAACACAGAAATATCTGTGTGCTTTGTGGTTGCACGAATTGTATTGTTCATTCCCTTAGGGCCAGTATTAACTACACTGAGTCATGCCCTACTCAGGAAACAGTTCAGTTGCAACAGATTTATGAGAGACTGGTCTGGCAATAGTTGCTGATATATTTTGGTATGTCTGTTTGATTACTATACACTGCCATCTGCTAGTTCCTTTATTTTTCTTCTCCCTTTGTATTTAATTTATTTATTGTTCTATTTAAAGGTAATTTGAGAAAAATATTTTTCACTAGCCCTTAATGTTTAAATCTGAATCTCTTGCTGATAGCTACTACAAATATAAAACTGGCTTCATAGAATTTTTCATTTGCATGTAATCATAGTTACAACAATTTATTCTCATCATTTTTTCCACATCTTAAGATTTCTGTTTGAGGCTTAATAATTGCAAAACAATGGCAGCATAATTTGATGAAGAAATGTCTCCAGAAATGGCCAATTCATTTCTCACAGATGCTGATAATATCCTGAGTGTAAATGAGAAAAAGCCCTTAATCTAATATCTTTCATGGTTTGTTCTCTTGTATATAAAATATGGATTTTTCTGAGTCTCAAAAATATAAGATAACGGAATAAATTCACCAATTTAAATTCATTTATACTTCTTGGAAGGGGGGGAGGAAGATCAGAAAACATGATTTCCGAGAAGCAATGGCTGTTGAAATACACTGGGGAGTAGAGCATAAATATAAAACATTATCTGCAGTGAATCATAATTCAAATTATTAGCTGATCTAGATATAACATATTCCAGTAATAACTTTAATTTAGTAGCACAAGTGTTACTCACGGACAGGTAAGGTCTGAAAGATCTCGATTTTGCTATACTCTCCTTGACCCTTTCCATTGACAGCTGCTACTTTGATTTCATATGTCGTATTTGGTTCCAAGTTGCTGAGAACAACCATTGCTAAAGGAAAGAGAAAGAAAAAAGGAACAAAGTTTGATGAAGCAATAAATTAAAAAAAAAAATTCAGGCAACTTCATAATTTCTTTGCTTCACTTGCAACTTAACAAGTCCTCTTTTCCAGTAGTACAATGGTTTCAAGCATAGCTTTTTTGTTGAGTGCTAACAGTCCTTGTTCATCTGCGTGGAACTGTTGTTGTGACTGAGCAAATTGTGCTTCTGCAGGAATGTAAAATTAGTGTTTCAGAAGCCACGGGCAAGAATCAAAGACATTGATGTGAATCAATATTTTATGTTCACGTTGTGAGCACAGTGCATTGGCTTTACTCTGCCAAGTTTTGGTAGCTGGGGGAAGTAACAAGGGAGGCTTCTGTGAAAAGCTTCCAGAAGCGTCTCCCATGTCTGGCAGAGCCATTGCTAGATGGCTCCAGGATGAACCTGCCACTGACCAAGGCTGAGCCCATCAGAGAAGGTAGTAAATGTCTCTTGGATAACATATTTAAGAAGGAAAAAAAGTTATTGCACAGACATAATTGCTCTCAGGGAAGAGTATGTGAGAGGAATAACTCTGCAGACACCAAGGTCAGTGCTGGAGGGGCAGGAGGTGCTCTGGGTGCCTGAGCTGAGGTTCCCCTGCAGCCCAGGGTGCAGCCCACGGTGAGGCAGCTGTGCCCCTGCAGCACACTGAGATCCAGGGGGGAGCAGAGATCCACCTGCAGTCCTTGGAGGGCCCCACACTAGAGCAGGTGGGTGCCCAAAGAAGGCTGTGACTCCGTGGGAAGCCTGTGGCAGGGACCTGTGGAGAGAGGAGCCTATGCTGGAAGTGGTTTGCTGTTAGGGCTTGTAATGCTGTGGGTGACCCACGCTGGAGCAGCCTGTTCCTGAAAGACTGCACCCCATGGAAGGGACCAGTGTTGGAGCAGTTAATGAAGGACTATAGCCTGTGGGAAGGGCTCACAGTGAAGTTCATAGAGGACTGTCTGCCGTGGGAAAGACCCCACAGTGGAGCAGGGGCAGGACTCTGACTCCTCTCCCTGAGCAGTGGCAGAAACAACCTGTGATGAACTTACAGTAACCCCCATTCCCATCTCCCTGAGCTGCTGGTGGGGGAGGAGGTAGATCCTGGGAAAGAGGGAGAGATGGGGGGAAGGTGCTCTAAAGATTTGTTTTACTTCTCATTATCCTGCTTTGATTTTGACTGGTAATACATTCAATTTATTTCTCCAAGTCTAGACTGTTTTGCCCAAGATGGTGAGTGACCTCTCCTGGTCCTCATGTCAACTCACGAGCCTTTCCTTCTATTTCTTCTCCACTTGCCAAGGGGAGTGACAGAATGGCTTTGGTAGGTACCTGGCATCCAGCCAAGGTCCACCCACCACACAGAGGAGACATGAATCTGGCAAAAAATTAGGCAATTCTCCTTCCTTGCTGGCTAGGGGCACCTAGCACAGGTTCCTTCATACAGTTCATAACTTGCCATTTTTCCTTCATGCAGATGAGTATCAACTGTCCTCGGTCTGCACTCTACACAGTTACATGCACATTAGTGGTGAGATGCTGGTGCTATGGTCTGCCAGTTCAACACTGTATTCCAGATCTAAAGTGACAGGTGCCTGTGATGACCAAAGGAAGAGTTCTGAGTTGTCTACCAGAGACCTGAAAGTAAATTAGTCACATTTGTATATATTTCAGAGGAGGTACATGGAAATGCATATTAAGTTATAACAAAAAAACAACAAACAAACAAACAAAAAAAAAGGTGATTTGGGAAGCCAAGGGGGTTGAACTTATGACAGGCTTTCAGAAATCAACACTGACCCCCTGATAGCAATCATTCACACAACCTGTCTCTGTACTAGCACCTGGAGATGCCATCAGAAGCAGAAAACAGGGAAAGCTTGCCAAAAAGCAAGAATATTGTACAGCAACAACTCTAGAAATAAAATCCAGGGAAAAAACCATTTGATTCCCGGATCCCTTATAGGAATAAATATTATGTAATATTTATAAACATTATAGTACTGTATTTACTAATAGCAATGTTGAATATGCACTTGGAAACATCGATCCAAAGAGAGTTCTTGGAGCATTACCCTGCCTTTACAAGAAAGATTCCTTTTATTGTCTCTACAGCAATTGCCTGTTTGCGGTGTGCCAGCTCTGTGATGAGCTCTCCATATGTCACATTCGTCCTGGGGAATGGATGTAAATTAGATGGACTTGACTAGAGGCACAGCAGCATTTCTTCTGCCCAGCAAGATAGGGGCTGTAATATTTTACAAGAGGATATAGAAATGTAATGTCTCAAGAAAGAACCAGTAGGTTCTTTCTCAGTCTCTAGGGAGCCTCGTTTTTCATTATAGAGGAGTATTTTATAGTTGCTTTAGGCCTGCTATTCAAGTTACATATTCAGTGAAAGCATAATTATTTCTGCCCATACTCTCTGTTATTCTTTTGAGTCCAGATTTATTAGAATTTCTATTTCTTTAGTTTCTGCAGCAGTCAGCTAGAGTTTCTATTACATGTGGTGCTAAAGGGATTTAATGAATTTGGAAAAAAAGTAACTTTTACATTTCACACTCTATTATGGGCTCTTTGCATGAATTTGCCATTGAAACATGGTAACTGTTTTCTTGTAAACAAAGCAATAGAATTGTATGTCTTCCAGCACATTTTAGCTTTACAATTTCATGAGATTTAAAAATATCAAACTCTGAAGTATAACCATGTCATGAAAAAATAAAGTAACAACATGAGAACAAGAATGGAATTTGGAGAAGGATTATGATATATAACATTCAGTTCTGTTAAGATGAAATTTAAAATCTAAGCCAAGCAGTAGCAGTGTTTGACTTGCCTTTCAGCCATGACTACTTTCCAAGGCTGAATAATTTCACTGAAAATAAACCTTAGGGCATACTAAAAATTAGTGCTACTGTAAATGTATTTAAAATTTAAACAACATAAAAGCATGACTATGAGTCAACACTTAATAAAACAAAAATGTGTTAAATACGTGAAACCTAAGGATTCGATTCCATAAACACTTAAGTGACTCCTGGGGCCTATATAAATGAACAAAATTACTTATATATGCAGTATTTAAAGAATCAGTGTATACTTCAGAATCCTCTGCACAGCACTATGTGTCTAGATACAATGACAGATACAATGAATTAACCCAGCTGTTTCTGATAGCACAATATGTCCTCAAAAAGTGGACCAACTTGGTATCAGTGATGGTAGATGTGGATATATTATGTATATAGGAAGAAAAATATAACTATGTCCTTCTCCAAAAAAACCCAACCAACCAAACAAACAAACATTCTGGATCAGAATATTTTACATACTCCAGTTCTAAGAGAATATTTAGAATAACTAAGTAAGATATAAAACTGTCCCACAGTATGGAACAAAAGGGCAGGGTTGAAAAGTAGTCTAAGCGTAGTGAAACTTCCACTGCTTGCTCAGAGTTTCACATTTTTTGGAATATGTTAAGAAGAAAATGCTTAACAAATTTTTTTTTTTTAAGGTATGTATCTGTAGTTTAAATATAAAATCAGCCTATATATCTTTCCATACAAAAATTAAGATCTTTTCACAGGACTCCTTGTCTCATGACCCTGGCCACACTGATATTTTGACTGCAGCTTGCAATGATCACTGAAGTAATCAGCTGCAAAATTTCAAATAATATTCTGAAAGAAATATAGTATTTCACTTTCAGTATATAAATGTGAAAAAATTGGTTCACTGCATACTGTATGTTATGCCATTGGTATATTAATTGATATCTATCAAGTTCAAAATACACTGTGAAATCCTTTTTTTCAGAATATGATTTGAAATTTTCCAGTTTTTTTTCTACCTGTCATGTCTGCCTTCTTTTGCTTTTATATTGTCTTTCTAATTAGAGTACCTGTGTGCTTCAGCTGGACAGTTCAATTTTGTAGACTGATTTTGCTGGAATTATTGTGATGGGTTACATTGAGGAGTAGATTTGGAAGGAATACTCCAAAGAGGGAAAACTAGAATATTCTCATGTGAACTCTGCAAATTAACTAAATTACCTAATTTAAGTTAATTAATTATTACATTAACATGATGCACAACAGCTCAAACCCTACTGTTATCCACTTATAAGAAGACAGGGAGACTGCAAGTCACAAGGTACTCTTCAAGGAGATCATGATACAATAAGTTACCAGTTATTTTGTGTTTGGTTTTATATACTAAATTAAGAATTTAAAACAAAATTATAAATACTTTTTTAAAAAGGTACGCCAGGAACACTGGTTTGATTCTTATTAAAGTGTTGTTGACCAGAATTAAAAAAGAAACACAGCCATGAAAAAGAATAACTCAGCATAACCTATTCTGGGACAATAATCCTAAAGTTTAAGCAATATTAAAAATAGAGTCCTTATTTTAATTTTACGGATTCTTTTAATTTGCAAGAAAACCTAAAACAATAAAACATGAATACAGAAAAAAACCCTCACAAAAATATATTAGATAGACAAAAATGCAGAATTCCATACTATTTAAAACCTATTGTGCAATCATTTCAGCTAGAAAAGTTCATTTTATTGTCACAGAAGTTTAACTGCTATCAAGATGAACCACAGGAAAACAACATCTGACACAAGATTTGCTGTGAAATAAATTGTACCATAAATCCAAGTCACTAAAATCAAAACAAAATTCTCCAGCTGCTTTTCTGGTCCAGGGAAGGTTGTTTATGTTACTTTACAACAGTAGAATGAGAGGGAAAATGTCTGGCATATAAAATTGTCTTATCACCAAAGTAATCTTCCTCAGAAACCTTCTAAGGACTGTGATATATTACATAAACCATCACAAAAGCAAAGAAGGTTGGGGAACTAATAGTACAGTTACACTACATTAATCTCAAAGTAGGTTTTATATGAGGTTAATTAACAGAAATAGCACATCACTGCATTATTCTCATTGGAGAGGTATCTGTTGAATGGACCAAT